CTGCCTCCCCGGTCAGCTTTCCCATTTTGCATTTTAGCAAACAGGAAATGAGGTAGGAGGCGTTTCCCACTCTAGGGACAACAGCGCTTTCTGTCCACAAAGGTCTTTGCTGTTCGCAGTTAGTGCTTTCCCCGAGTCTGTACTGTACCAAGCCTGGGAGAAGGCTGCCTGGTGGAGGCGGATATCTGAGCTGCCGCAAATGATGCAAAACCAGCCTTGGAGGGGAATACAGTTAGACACACCCTATTTTCTAAATCTGTAATTAAATGACTGGCATTCAATGAGGATACTTTTTGTTTTAAACATAGTTGTGCCTTTATCAAAAAATTCTCCATCCAACCCAAATCCAATGCCGGGTCTCAAATTTTCCTCCAGCCTCAGAAGTAAAAAAATAGATGTCTTGTGTTGGGCACATGCAGCATCGTAGACTTTAAACAGCTTTGGCTGGCTTGATCCTAATCTTAATTAAACCAGTGCTCATATTGTCCCATCCTAGTCCTGGGATCCTCAGCTGCTTCAGCTCAGCCTAGTTTGGTTTGAAAGAATGCCAACCAGCCTAGGAAACAAGAGAACTTTGGGGTGATTTTAGGCTCCACCAAAGCATCCTTCACTTTCCCCAGATGATCTTAACTTAATGGTTAGCATTCCTGGGGAGAAACAACAATATTGGTTAGAAAAATAACCGGGACAAAAAGTGCATTTGCTCATAATCCAACTGGTTCAAAAAAATTTCATAAAGCAAGAGAACGCGTTTCTCCCTCTACCTGACTCCCTTCTTCAAAGTGAACCACTTACAAAAAAAATTGTCGTATATTCCACCCAATTTGTTACTGGGTTTATGTAGACATTTACCCAAAATGCCAGACACATTGACCTGTATATACCTTGTTTATACTCTTTCATAACTCCTGGACATTTTCCTAGACCACACCTACAGACCTACCTCATTCTTTGTAGTGTTTGCCCAGTCTTCACTGCGTGCATATATTGTAATAGATCCAGCCACTCACTCCCCTATTGATGGGCATTTAGATTGTTTGTGATATTCTTGTTATTATTGTGAACAATGCTGCAACACATATTCTTGCCTACATATTTGTGTGTATTTCTAGTAGTATGTCTTGTAGGATGGATTTAAAAGAGTGGGATTGTTTTTACTCCTGGGGCTGGAGCCCCAACAGTGTAGGAGAGGGCCCCCAGCCCCATCCCCAGCCTTGCCAACACTGGGGCCAATCTGCTAGACCAAAACATGCTCATCTTCTTGAGATTTAATTTGCGTTTCCCTGGCTGCTCCTGAAGCTGAGCATCTTCTCATATGTTCATGAAATGTGGCTTTTCCTACCCAGTGAATTCCCTGCTCTTATCCTGGACCCGAATTTCTATAGGCGTTTCTTCCTATTCAGTGTGCAGAAGCTCTTTGTTACATGAATATACTCTTTATCTCACATATGAGGCGAGTATTTTTCCATCACATTGTTGTCTTTTTATTCTGTTTAGGGCATGTGTTAACTGTAAATTTTAAATTTTATTATCCTCAAATATGTTAACATTTTCCTTCCTTGTCTCAGGAAGAACTCCAGTCTATATTTTCTTCTTATACTTTTATAGTTTTACTTTTCCCATTTAGATCTTCAATCCACTTTTAAAAATTAATTCATTAATTAATTTGTAACGGGGTAAGTCAGGAAGCTAGCTTTACTTTACTCCAAATGAAGAGCCAAGGTTTTAAAAAGTATTTAATCAGTAAAAACTTACACTTTTTTTTTTTTCTTTTTTTTGCAGAAGGAACCAGTGAAGTTCCTAGGCGAAACTGTAGTTCCTGAAGCTGGACCCTGAAGATCTTTAACTCAGGATGTGGGAAAACACCTACAGATTGTTGATCTCCTAGCCAGTCAGGGGTTAGGCCCTTCTGAATGTGTGTATGTGTATTGTGCTTTTAATACAGAAGGGATTCGTAGGAAAACATTCTCCTTCCTCAAACAATTCCTTATTTACAGGCCAGACCCAGACCTGTAGAGAATTTTTGGAAGAGTCAGACTGACAACATATGCCAGGGAGCAAGACCTCAAATGTGGAGGAGACAGACATAAGGAAGGTTACATGGAGGTGGGAGAAGCAAGGTGGGGACTGGATGACAGGATAGCTAACAAGACTCTGAGCTTTCTCAGGGGTGGTTGCAGCTAATTTCAAAGGCGTGTTAACCTATATTCACAGAAACAATGGGCAGGGCTTGCTCGAGGCAAAGATACACCTTTTACTAAATAAAACGTTATATGCGAGTGTGACTCCCCGCCATAAACTGCCCAGTTAGGAATTTATGATCAGGTCACCCTGTCAGGTCACTTCCCATAGAACCCCTTTTTTTGTTCACAACTGTATCCTATCTGTTGGTCCATCTTAGGTGTGTCCCCTTCCCTCTGAGATGAGCTCTTTGAGGCTGTGTCTTATCTCTGTTCTGCATCGGGACAGTAGATGCGTGCTGAACCAAACCTTGTCTTTGAAGCCATCTAAAGATTTATTTCGTGTGCATCCACATAGTCTGAGGGTGTTTCCACATTTTTAAGAAGAATTTGTGCTTGTTTCTCTACAGGCTGATTTGGAACCTGCAGTGACAGGGTTTCTCTCCGGGAGTCTTTTATCTTGCCATTTGCAAGTGAAAGTACCAATAAATACTTGTTGAATTTTATCATTCTGTTAACCTTCAAATTCAGACTTGTCAGTAATTACTGGCTTGCGTTAAAAGATGGAAATTAGAGCGTGAGGTCCAGGAAGGAGACGCGATTTGCTTGGAGGCATGCAGAGTGAGCAGGGCTCTAGTCTTCCTGTCCCTTCTTTTTCTGCTCCTTTTTGTCCCTTGACAAAGGGCAACTGGAGTGGTGAAGGGCACGGGTCTGGTGAGAAAGGACCAGGGTGGGACTTCTTGTGTTTGGTGTCCTGACCGAGAATTGAACCAGCAACCTTTCTGTGAACCACAAAGCCCAACCAGCTGAGCCACACCAGCCAGGGCAAAGGTGGGACTTTTAATCAAAGCAAGGGGGCCATCCTGGCCCATTTTAGCAGTCCTGCCATTTTGGTAAAGAAAATAAATAAAAAAGGTAGGGCAGGCAATTCTGAGTGCCTTTTCTGAGGGCCTGAAGAAGGCTCTGAATGACATTCATTTCGCCTTTGCCGATAAACAGAAACCATCTTGGGCCCTGGCCAGGTAGCTCGGTTGGTTGGAGCGTCGTCCGGATACACCAGGGTTTCAGGGTTCGGTCCCCGGTCAGGGCACTTACAAGAAGCAACCAATGGATGTATAAATAAGTGGATCACATCGACGTTCCTTTCTCTCCACCTTCTTCTTCCTAATATCAATCAATCAATCAATAAAAAAAAAAAACTATCTTGGAAGAGCTGGCTGCTTTGGAAGGACTCATTCAGAGATCTCTGCCTTGAACAACAGAGTACAGGTTTGTTTCTCCCAGGCCACCCAGACCAAAGCAGGTCCTCCACAGAGGGGATCATCAGTCTGGGGAGGGAGGCAGCCAGTTTCCTCAGGGACTTGGGCGGGCGGGAAGCCGGCATGAAACAAACACTCCCAGGAATATATCCTTACAGATGGGGGTAAAGGATGTTTGGAGAGAATACAGCAGGAAGGCTTGGTTTAGATTAGGGCGTTGGGCAAAAGCCCTCGTGGGGTGTGAAGGGCTTTTGCAAAAGTAAAGTGTTTTACATATGTGAGGGAAGTAATAACAATGCGAAAGGTGCTCCGAGGGCAGCTCATCCTCATTCATGGGCCACTTCCTAGAACTCCGGCAAGCTCCCTCGCTTCCCAGAATTACGGAGGCTTCCAGGGTACCTTCACAAATGCTAATCCGAGAGCATTCTACCCGCGCCCCGACCCTCCGCACCCTCGTCTGTATCTAGTTTGAACGCCGGGACGAGTGAATTTCCAGTTTGGAAAAAGGGATATAAAATATAAAGAAACTTTCCCATGTTCCCAGCCGAACCCAGGGGCCAGGCTCCCCTGCCCCAAACCGTCGGAGGATTGTTTTTCAAAGTAAAATCCCACCTCCCTGTGTGTCTGGTTGTGAGGGGGGCTGTGCGGGAGACCTGAGTTGCTCCCGGGGAGCTGGGGGCAGTGGCGATGTTTGATCCCTCCCTCCTCCCCCAAACCCACCTGCGAGCGAGCCGGAGCGGGGTGAAGGGAGGCTGTGCT